ACATCCTCTGTGACGATAATTGGGTTTCTCTCTTATGAATTCGTTTGGCCTTTCGTCAAGTGTACGTATCGCACGCATAGCGTGTTACTGGAAATGCTTCATTTGCCTCAAAACCCGAAGTTCATCGTAGAAGTACTATATTAGTTCGTACCTCACAGTAAACCTGATGCGGTTTCATTATAAAGGCCAGTCGATTAATGCTGTTTAGAGAAACTGTATTTTTCTCAGAGAATCTTACAGAACACATAAATATTGTCTGCTAAAGTGCATGGACTCGAAGCAAGCGGCACGTATATTAACCAGCGTGCATAATAATCTGCCCTCTTTGCATATTTCTCCACTGATGAGAGTATATATCGCGCCGCCTTCTTTACTGGCGCTACAGCTCTGTGAGTCTTCATGGCTTCGTAACTGTAAATCCTTTCGAGGTGAAGTCGCACCACGCCTATGCATATCGCATACCAATGTAAAAAAACTTCCAATAAACGGAAACTCCGTAACGCGGAAACGGAAAATACTCATTGGGGCACAGGCTCTTTTCTTAGAAAACCACGACCTGTTATTGAACATGACGAAACACCCGGGTGTTGCAGAGCAGGTTCGCTTAGCGGTCACTCTCTAGATTCATACTTGGAAGGTGCTTGGTTCGAGTCTCGACCCAGACACCAATTATCATGGCCAGGTTCGAGATTTTTTTGATTCCTCCAGACAAATGCTGGGATATTGCCTCGTTCAGGCAACGGCTGGTTCCTTCCAAATCTTCTCCAGTTCATCGGTTCTGGGACAAGATTTGAAGCGGGTAGGAGGGTAATCTGTTAGTGGGGGGCACGGGGTGGGCCACGCCACACGGTGTAGGCATGTCGCTCAGGATGGTTCAGGGGGTAGCATTTCTCACGTGTATTATGCAGGTGTCTATTTCGAATCTCAGCTGAGGCACTGAACATCCTGACTGAAACATTTCGTGCTTTTCCTCAGTCACTGCATGCAACAACTGTTACAGTACATCAAATTGGGTCGCGCCCACTTCTCTCGACTTTATTTCCAAAATATCCAATGGCTTGAGGCCGTGTAGTACAGGTCGATAAGTAAGTTACGAATAAGTCAGTGGGGGCACGCGGTAGCGTAGTTGCTTCAGGCACTATGCTACCACCAGGAAGATCGCGGGTTCGAATCCCGATGAGGTAATTGGATTTTTCACTTGACTTAATCCTTCCAGCCGCACTATGGCCCTGGGGTGGACTCAGCCTCTAACAGAAATGAGTACCAGGAATCTTCCTGGGGGGGTAAAGGGGAGCCGGTGCATAAGGCTGACCTCACCACCATCTGTGAGCGATTGTCTAGATAATGTGGGACCCTCAACGTCTCACAACCCTATGGGCCTCAACGGCCTGTTACAAGGACAGGTTTTTTTACCTTACCAAAATAATTTAATCCACGCGGTATATTCTGTTTTCATAAACGAGGCTCTGAGGACCGAGCCACTGACTTATAACGAACCTACACGTGCTAATAGCAGGAGTAGCCATTCTTCCCTCGGTAACGGTTGCTTTTCTTGTCAATACCACTGTAAGAATATGACTGGGTGGCTTTGTACTGTACAGATGTTAAGACGCGAACATGCTACAGTCTGAAGCTGGAGACAATTGCAATCAGTGTCAGAGGCAGAGCCCACAGTTGTGCAAAGAATAATGTGATAAAAGAGCGATGGAAGGAAGAGAACAGATTAATGGGAAGAAGCTTTAAAAGGAGGGAGAAGCAGAAGAGCAAGGAAAGTTAATGAAGAAGAATGTAAAAGGATAAAGAATAAGATATGGATGGGAAGAAGTCGAAGAGGCAAGAGAAAGGAACAGGATGGGAAAAGAAAAGGCACAAGGAGGCAATTAATAACACTGCCTTTACGCCGTCTCCGTTGCTGCATTGCAAAGGGAGGAGCCACTCTCCTGAATGTTGATGTCTTCATAGTCACGTGGAAGCTGAAAGGGCTGTAGCTCTCTTCTGGTACTGCGGTCACGTGGACAGGAGCAGAAGCAGCCAAGTTACTGACAGGTGCGTCTCAGGACGTTCCAGGAAAGCTACAGAGGGGCAGGGCTTGCCCCGCAGTGACATAATTAGCGGTTCTTCTAACCGAGGATGAAAATGTTACGTTCCAGCTGTCGGCATATAGTGACTAGCCTACAGGAAACCTGGCTTCGGTTCCTGGCGTAGGCAGAGATTCTTGCTTCCAGCGGGTCTGTAGAACGACTCTGAGATACACACAGTCGCCAGATGGGTACTAGACGTTCTTTCTCTCAGGGTAAAGCGGCCCTACACAACACTGAAATTTGTTTCCGTTCCTCGCCAGTTGCAACGAGTTCGCGGAAACGCCGATGAAGGCGCCACTTGACGGCTCTATTATGATATTTGTTTACAGGGGATACACGTGTATGGGTGTACGACTCAGCAATGGTGTTCGAATCAATAGGCGCGAATAATAGATTGTCGCCGGGAAAAATGGTCCGTAGTGTTTCTGGAGACGGCCAGATTTCCCCGCTGGTCTCGCCGCTGTGTCCAAACGAGGCAAATAAGTCAGGATGGGGACAACTTGAAGCAATGACAAAATCAAAGCGAGTGCTTATGTCCGAAGTAATGCAACGAATCGACGAGGTTAAACCATTTGCTGAATTATATAAATGAATGGATAAGTAAATAAATTGAATTATTTAATTAATAACCTCTAAGCTCTGCTTGAGACATTTGTTACGCCAAGAACGGTCAGTTAATTATGAATTGTGTACGGGTGTGTACCTTGGTCTCTCAGATTAAGAGGACAAACACAGAACAAGAGAGCTCTGTTTTCCGGATATAACTCCACGTAGTGCGTTGAAGTCACCTAAGTTTCGGAGGAACATGTCACCTCCATCTTCAGTTGCGACATTGAGCCGACATATTCCTCGGGAACGTCAGTTGACTTTCAGCGGGCTACATGGCGTTATACCGGTAGCATAGTTGCTACAAGCCGGAAGGTCGCGGGCTCAAATCCCGATGAGTACCAGGAATCTTCCTGGTGGTAAAGGGCGGCCGGCGCGTAAGGCTGACCTCACCGCCGTCTATGAACCGATTGTCTAGAAAATGTGGGAGCCTCGACATCTCACAACCCTATGGGCCTCCACGGCCTGTTACAGGAATAGCTTTACTTACACGGAGCTATATCCCAGAAGACAGAACTCTTCATAACCACCGCTGTGAGAACCTCAGGCCCTAGACAGCGCTATATCCCAGAAGACAGAACTCTTCATAACCACCTAAGTGAGAACCTCAGGCCCTACACTGCGCTATATCCCAGAAGATAGAACTCTTCATAACCACCGCTGTGAGAACCTCAGGCCCTACAGCTATATCCCAGAAGACAGAACTCTTCATAACCACCGCTGTGAGAACCTCAGGCCTTAGACAGCGCTATATCCCAGAAGACAGAACTCTTCATAACCACCTAAGTGAGAACCTCAGGCCCTACACTGCGCTATATCCCAGAAGATAGAACTCTTCATAACCACCGCTGTGAGAACCTCAGGCCCTACAGCTATATCCCAGAAGACAGAACTCTTCATAACCACCGCTGTGAGAACCTCAGGCCCTACACAGCGCTATATCCCAGAAGACAGAACTCTTCATAACGACCGCCGTGAGAACCTCACGAGTGTTTGGGAGTGGGGCGCTGAGGGGAATTTGGATCTAAGAAAGGTCCAAGTGACAGGGGGATGAAGATCCTTACGTAATGGCACAACAATAATATTTGCATTGTCTTTACGAAGTAAAAAGAACACGGCATGTGTATATGACCCAGCAAGGGCCAAGACGTTTGGACAGATCTCTTATTTTTTTTTTTTTTTTGTTAATTCGTCAAGGAACACTTTCGGGGCCAGAATAGCTCAGTCAGTATAGCGATAGGCTACGGGCTGGAGGGCCGGGGTTCCATTCCCGGCAGAGGCAAGAGATTTCTCTCTATTCCACAGCGTCCACACCGGCCCAGGGGCCAACCCAGCCTCCTGGCCTGCTAGTGCGACATTCAAAATGGTGTAACTGTACCGCCACTGCCCCATACGCCTGCATGGCCAATGCTTAATTAGTTACGCACAGGAGCAAGCTTTAAGGAAGGGCGCCAGTAACAGGTGGCACAGTTCCGATTTGCCGCCGTGCTGACGCATAATGAAGTCCACTTTCCACACATAATAGGAACCGTCAATTAGCTTTTGTAAACATGCGTCAACTGCAAAGAACGCCATTTGGAACGTGTGCCGTACATTCTCCTAGCCCAAACATTTCCAGGACGAGCGAATCACGGAGAATGATATGATCGGGGTATGTAGCATGCATGGCAGCGAAGAGAAATGCTTACGAAAATTTTGGTTGTTTGACCTGGAGGGAGGATAGGAAAATAGTATACTTCCATCTACTCCAAGGTCCTCTAAATTACTTCTTTCCAAATATGAATATTTAAGTGTCTTAACTATGTGTGAAGAGAACGAGGTCCTCTGCTATAAAAAAAATCCGTCTGGGAGTGAATTTTCCCTTCGTTGAGGGTTGTTAAGTACAGTCCGTGAAGTGTCGCGACAGCGGTCAGATTTGTAAATTATAGGACCTATCTATACATCCGCTCCCCCATACGCCTTCACGGTGCAGTGCTTAATTAGTTAAGCACGGGGAAATCACCGTTACCTAAACTACAGCGATATCAACAATTCACTCTCGATGTTCAATATCTTATATCGATTCTTTACGGGCAAAACGCAGTACACTCAGATGAGATTCCCGGATTAATCCTTTTAAATCAGGAAACACCTCTACCGTCTGTCTTAGCATTCGAAAAGTCTGCATTTTGCCCACAGAGTGCGTTTACTTATTTATTACGATTCTCACAACAAACCGATTATTTATCTCGAAACAACATTAAGTGATTTGTTCTCTGTGAGGTACGAAAGTCAGATTATAAGTAATGCGTACGTGAAGCTCATGCTCCTCACCTTAACAGATGGCCCGTGGTAAATTTCACATGGCTCCAACTTGAGGACACTCACTCTTACTCAGGCAACCACACACCACACCGTTCTCGGCAGAATTAAGTTGTGAAGCACCAAGATGACAGCCAACCGGTCGCTCCGCCCCCGGACCGAGTCGGGACCCCTCCACACAGCTTGCCACGTTGCCACGTCCTAACATTCCAGAGACAGGAAGTTCACCGGCTTTTGTTTATTCAAGTCTCAGGGCGTAATGTTGCTCGGATGATAAAAGATACGTCATATTATGGCACTTGGGACGGCACGTACAGATGTTTGTTTAACGTCAACTGGTTTGTTTTGTTATCTGAGAGTTTGTTTTTGTTTGATGGAGAGATCTTGTAAGCAAACCACTCATCCCCACTCCGCGGCCTCCTCACAATTGAAACGACAAAGTGACTGCTGTCTTAATGAACTGCTAATACATGTAACGCAAAGGTCTTGCCGTTGTGCTTAATTAAGCACCACACCATGGGGGAATGGAGGTACAACTCCACCCATTCTTAAACGCGGCACTAGGTGAATAGTCAGCTTCACGACCCGGCCGCTTTACCCCCGAGAAAGTGGGTCCGAGATTTGCTGGACAGGAGACTTGTTGGGCCCCAGGACGGATTTGAACGCCGGGATTCGAACCACGGTTTCCCGGCCCCCTAGTCTATAGCTTAGTCACTATACTTACTGAGCTATTCCAGCCGATACATGTGTCCAGTTGTGAGGGTGATAACTGGAAGTTAATGAGGTGGAAATGGGAAATCGTAACTGAATTGATTTTCCTTGAATTCTGTAATTGGGGACGATTAAATCTGTAAGTACCGTGGTAACTATATCTACCGCCTGCTTTGAAATTAAGAGACGCTGAACAGCGAGTTACAATTTACAGCTAATCACGGGGTTGAACCCTGAAGAGGGGCGGGGACAGAGCGAGAGAAAGAAGAGGGAAAATGGGGGCTGGTTGTGAGAGAGACCGCTACTGCAATTTTGCGGGCAAAACTGACAAAACTCCTGCTCTGAAGGCTCTCAGACATTGTCCACACGTCCCTCTCATAGTTTCGACAGAAGGTAAAGCGTTGGGAAGTGGAGAATATAGCGTGGAGTGTTTTATGGTTACGCAGCATAAGACAGACGCTAGGCGGAACACACAAATGCACTCTGCGAGCAGAATGCACAGTTTTATTATATTGAAGCAGGTGGTAAATATAGTAACCACTGGGTCTTATAGGATTAAATAATATATTGAACTCACACTCTTATTAAACACTTATATATTATTACTGGATAGCGCAATCGGTATAGCGACTGGCTACGGGCTGCAAGTCGAAGTTCGAGTCCCGGTAGAGGTAAGATTTTTTTCCCCCTTTCCACGTCGTCGAAACCGGTTCTGGGGCCCGCCCAGCCTCGTATCCAATGGTTACCGTGGGCAAAACGGCCGGGGCGTGAAACTGACCACTCACCTGCCACTAGTGCCGAAGTCAAGAATACTTGGATCTATTTCTCCACTCCCCATACGTCTTTGGCGTGACGTTTAATTAGTTAAGCACATTACAACTTTACATTTTTACCTTATTTGTGGTCTAGTTTCTTAACTTCATTTTAAGAATTTTATTAGGTGTTGGGTAAACTATTTTCTAGTGCGAAAGCGTTCCGTTCCCAGATTGAGAAGCGCTGGTTGCCAACCCCCCCTCCCCCCCAACCCATATCCGTGGAGTGTAGTACGTCATATAGCTCGCTGTTACATGAAACATCCTGGGGAGGTGTGCGCCAGGATGGGCGGCAACTTCTCCGGCAGCCTAGTGTTGAGCGTAGCCTAACAGCAGGCGTTGTGCTTCTAAGTGCATTCCTCCTGGCTCGACCCTTCATCCGCTATATTGCGGGAACCGGAGGCGCTCTCGCGGCGGTGACCGAATATTACGATATTCTGGAACGTGACGCCGTGTACTATGGTTTATATTTACCTCCGTTCTTGAGGAATTTGTTACCTTCATCTTCAGGGTAGGAGAAAAGAACGTTTCTCCGAAACGTCGGCGAACGTCACCAGACTACATGGCCTCACATTCCAGAAGGCAGTTATCATCTGATGATACACAGTTCGAACCTTGGCTGTGCGTGTCAGTTGTTTTGTGTTTAAACGGTTGCTGTGCTAAAGGCTATTATCTTTCATTATTTTTATTGTCACGTGTATGGGTGACTAAAGACGAGGTTCGGATTGGTAATTGGATTTATTAGCAACCTCCAGGTCGTAACTACAATTAATTACTACACTATTGCTGCTTTACACAATTTACAAGCACTCCAGTACACCTGCACCAGCCTTACAACACAGGAACTATAACAGTCTCGCTAAATCACACACTCCCAATACCTCTGTACTACGGCACACATAAAGTCTTCAAATCACACGTTAAGTCTTCACATGCTGACCTCTTGTGCTCTTCTGTACTCCTAGTTCCAGTTCCCTCTGAAGTTACAGCTCATGGCTCTCGTTATACAGCCGCGGAACGGACATGGACCTACAGTAAACACATATCACGTGATCGCTATCCTGCCAGTATATTGGCGCGTTGGTCAGATCTACAGGTAACACAGCTTCCTCTATTGGTGCATGTTGGACCGTGTTTACAGAGCTGTTGCCTGGCAACGCGTTGACCAAATTCGTTACAGTATTATCAACCATTTACTTCTTCTTCTTCTCCTTCTTCTTCTTCTTCTTCTTCTCCAGTACTGTCCAGATTTAAGCCGTTAGGTGCTGCTAATCTGACCGCCTTTTTTCAAGTCTTCCAACGTTCTTCACTGAGGTCTCTATTTTATTGTTCCATTAGGCCGCCTGTTGCTTTCTAGGCTTTCCTTGCGGGTTTTACATTGCCTTAATGTTCCTAGCAAGTGTTTTCTTTAATTGTTTTATTGCCCACCTCGTCACCTGAGCGCTAGAGTGAAATGACGGTGCATCCCTCGAGTCTCATCTGCTTTGTCTTCTTATTTCTACTCCTCAGAATAATCATTTCAGGGCATGTAGCACGAATAGGGGTGAAGAGGAATCATATAGAATATTGCGAAAGCCAGAAAGAAAGAGACCACTAGGAAGACCAAGACATATTAAATGGATCTTAGAGACACAGAATGGGATGGTATGGATTGGATTTATCTGGCTCAGCATAGGGACCGGTGGAGGGCTCTTGTAAACAGGGTAATGAACCTTCGGGTTGCATAAAATGCCGGGAAATTGAGTAGCTTCACAAGTGGAAACTTCTCAAGAAGGGCTCAGCTCCTTGAGTGAGTGATTCAAACATCGAGGCAGGTTTTGCTGTCATTTTGTAAAGTATTATCTAAGCTTCTTTTGACCCACTTCTGCCATAGCCTCCTTCAGTAGGTTCATTTATCTCTGTACCATGAAATTCTGTAAGCGTCAGGTGAAACCTCTGAAATTGACCCAATTTCAGGTTACCATAGCAACGAATTCTCTCGGCAGTTAACAAATTTCATCAATGGAAGTTATGTAGTAGATCGCGGTGGCGTGAGAAATATTTTTACTGTATTCGTATCTTGTCTCTTCTGTGTGGTTATCTGAAATGTGATATACTATAGATCTGAGGTGGTTTGCTATTAACTATTTGTGTGTGTTTTTCGTGGGATATGGCTTTAAACTAGAGCCTCGACGTATCATTCGATAAAATGTGGGACTGCAAAGGAATACGGGAGAATAGATATGCAACAGATGGGACTTCCCTTTGAATTCTCAAAGTGTGTTACGCTAATCCTTTATTTTAAATATTATCTTATTTTCCAAGCCAATATTTCCATAAAGAGGCATTGTTACATAAATGTCTTAGCCTCTTCAATAATCTATTGTTAATCACAATTTTTATCCGGATTAATTAATTTCCATTTATTGTCAGTTATTTTGGATAAATTTTTGTGCAGCGTAATTTTTAATTTGGGAGAGATTAAACGATCTCATTGCTCTTTATAAAAATGTTAGTACGAAGGGAAATCCCCTGCCTGACGTCTATTAACCGTTGCCATAGTGACTGATTTGTGTGGAGCAGATGACAGCAAAACCCGCCAACAGTTGAAGCGTGAAGCCGGCAGGTTCGCTAATGAAGCCGGTAGTTACATCCCGGCCCGGTAGGGGGCAAAGCTTTACGGTCCGCTGCGCATAGAGAGGCTTTCAGATTTACTGCGCGCAGCCAGGGGTTGCCAACATATCGAGTTATACCGCCTACAGCACACTCAGGGTCAGCCCAGGAAAGGTTTTGAGGTTTTCACCGCGGTTAAGATTCATATTTTGGTACGCGGTTATCATGCGTCTTAAGAGCATGTTGTCTTCTTCAGGATAAACTTCAAGAAAATAATGTCACGATTTAAGGTTGTTGCGTATTCTGGGTTGGATGACTGGGTTTACTGACGCCTCATTCACACCACTTGGAGCCACAGGCAACACAGCCCTATCACTGATCTACACACTTCACAGTCCGCCTTTGCACACGCACTATGGTTCTCAGCCTTCACTAGTCGTAACCTTGCAACGGATTTGTAACTATCTCACTGTCATTTCAAATCACACGTGAAGTCTTCTTTTCACAGCTTAATTCCTTTCTTGCCATCTCCAGGACTCGACCCAGTTCCCGACAACTCACTCAAATGAACTGTTCTTCATCTGAACTCTCTCAACTTCTGACAACTGATTGTTCTCAACTAAACCCTTATTTATAACCACTTTGCACGGACCACTCAGAAAACACAGCCTTTATTGTTAAGAAGGCGTGTTTACTGATCCGTTTCCTAGCATTGGATGTATATGTCACAGTATTATCAACCTGCGAAGCGCTGGTACCCACCATCGTCATGCTCTGTACTGAAACCACGGAGCAGAGTCCAACTTGATAAGCTAATAGTCGCTCAGCTAGCCAAGAAACTCCCAGCGATTAATGGAACTTGAAGGCTCCTTCCCGTGTTCACAAGAACCCACCACTGATCCCTATCTTAAGCCAGATGAATCCATTTCATACCTTCCTATCCCATTTTTGTAACATTGTCATCCCATCTAGGGACAGGCTTCCCGGGTGGTACTTTTCCTCCAGGTTGTCTTACCACAGTATTTCTCTTGCCTTCCATTCGTGCTAAATGCCTAGACCATCTCGTCCTCCTTCACTGGATCATCCTCATAATATCTGATGTAGAGTAGACATTATGAAGCTCCTCTCTGTGTAGTTTTCTCCAGTCTCCCGTTACTGCCTCCCTTTCGG